GAAGACAAAAGAAAAATGAGGAGGAACCCAATAGAGGGATGCTTTGGGAAAGTCTTGTCAAGAAATTCCAGTGGACTCTCATGAACATTTGGAAAATTGCCATGTTCTGACTTTTTTCTGGTTCCATGTCTAGAACTTGTAATGTTAATTACTCTTGCTTTTACTTCTCCTTCACATCTCCTAGGCACCAGTCAAGGGCTTTCTTTTCTCCCTACAGGTAAGAGTTATAAAATTTGGGAGTCTTTTAGATAGACCCACTGAAGGGGTACTCCAATTACCTCACCTTGTGTCCCTCCCTGTTCAACCTGGAAGAAGCTAGAGCAGTCTGTGTCCCAATTCCCTATGAGCAATATGGGCAACCTCTTCAGAGGATGGTGTGATAAGAATAAGAAGAAGGAAACTTAACTGAGGAATTTCCTCCATTTGATGGCTTGTGGACATATCTGCTGGGCATTTTTTTGTTAATTGATGTAGGAGGGCCCAGGCCACTGTGGGTGGTGCCATCCCTGATCAAGTGGGCCCAGGCTGTGAAAGAAAAGTGGCTGAGCAAGCCAGGGAGGAAGCCAGGAAGCAGTGTTCCTCATGGTTTCTGATTCAGCTCCTGCCTCCAGGTTCCTGTCTTGAGTTCTCTCAGTGGTAGACTGTGATCTGGGAGTAGTAAGAAATAACCCTTTCTTCCCCAAGTTGCTTTTGGTCATGATGTTTATCACATCAACAGGAAGCACATCAGAATGTCTGACAAAGGGTTTGTATCTAGAATGCACAAAGAACATGAAAAACTAAACATCAGGAAGACACATTGTCTTGATTTTTATCTTCCTCTGTCAGCTACCCTTTCTGTGTTCTTTGCTGATTTTTTCTTTATAACCCAAGTTTTTTAAATGCTCAAGACTCAGAATATTTTCCCCACTTCTCTACACTCATCCTCTTGGGTATGCCATTAATTTACAGTTTAATGCAATCTATGGACTATGTAGTTGGCCCCTGCCACAAAATGATGCTTTTTTAACTTTATAATGATACTAGGAAAAAAAAAAAAAAAGCACAATTTGTGGAAATTCAACGTTGAATTTTAAACTGTGACCTTTTCCTGGGCTGGTGAAAAGTAATTTTATGACGACAGGAACAGCAACAAGTTAGTCGTGATCACGAAAATAAACAATCATTATTTATGATATTCTATATTGCCAGCATCTTCTGGATACAGGTATTCAATATTTTGTATGAAGTACTGAATACCTTATTACAAAATAAGCTTCACATTTGTGATGGAGAGCTTTAGTTGCAAACTTAACTTACCTGGGTAGAGGGAGCCTCAATTGGGGAATTACCTCCATTAGACTGGCCTGTGGCCATGTCTATGGGGAATTTTCTTGATTTTTGGGTGCTGTTGGAGGGCACAGCCCACTGTGGGCAGTGCCACCCCTGGGCAGGTTGTTCTGTATTATATAAGAAAGAAGGCTGAGCATGGGCCAGGGGAGCAAGCCAGTAAGTAGCATTTCTCCATGGCCTATGCTTCAGCTCCTGCCTCCAGGTTCCTGCCCCGAGTTCCTACCTTGGACTCCCTGATGAATTGTGACCTGGGAAAGTAAGTCAAATAAACCCTTTCTTCCCCAAGTTGGTATTGGTCAGAGTGTTTTGTCACAGCAATTGAAGGATAACTAAGACAACAGTAAATGAATTTTGCCTAGGTGTAGGCTACTGTAAGTATTCTGAAAATGTTAAAGGTAGGCTATGCTAGGCTCTATTTGGAAGGTTAGGTACATTAAATGCATGTTTTGCTTACAAAACTTTCAATTCACAATGGGGTCTAGAAACATGTGTACCTGTGATACTTCCAAAATTTAAACTTTCCTCTCCAGATATCCAAATATACTGACATCTCTACTTTGACATCTAATAATCATGCAAAACACAGTATGTTCCACCATGCTTCCAAACTTCTTGAAAAGTTTCCATTGCAGTAAACAACACCATATCTAAGTGACTCAAAAGCTCTGGGGTCATTCTTGATTCTTATCATAGTCACACTTCACATTAAATCTCAGTTCAAATTTCAATACGTATCTAAAATCTTGTAACTTTTCATCAGCCTGACTACTATCAGCCAACCTGAAACATAATAGTTTTTTTACCAGGTATCCATTCCTTCATCCTCAAAACCTCCATGGTTTCATATTTCTGAACAATTCTCTCAGTACCAAAAAAGAGATCTTACTCTCCGTCCCTGCTACCTCCCTGACATCATCTTCTGTTGGTCATCCTCTTGCTAAATCTGTTCCATGTTCCCCCTGCCTCCTTGTTCCTCCTCAGGCATTTGAAGTGTTGCTCCTGCATTATTTCCTCACTCTGAAGTTCACTTTCTCTTAGTTACGCACCTGATTTTCTTATCTTTGGGCCTTTGATTAAGTTACCTTTGAAATGCAGCCATTGCTGACTGCTTCATCTAAAGTTGTATTCTCCTTCCCTTTATTTTGTTTTGTTTCTTCATAACACTTATTGCTAACTCTCCTGACATTATTATTTGACTGTTTATCTCCTCTACTAGAATCCACAATCTTTGAAAACAAAAACTTTGTCTTGTTCAGTCCAATACAAAGACTAATTTATACTAAGGGCTTAATATTTGAAAAAATATTCAGTGATTACCACATAGACACATCACCTTCTAAAACAAAGGTTTTATTGGAGTATTCATAAATGAAGTAAACATTCACAAATATGTTTCTATCTATCATCTATCTATCATCCATCTATCTATTACCTGTCTATCTATCTATCTATCTATCTATCTATCTATCTATCTAATCTATCATCTATCTATCTATCTATCTATCTATCTGTCTATCTATCTATCTTCTATCTAATATCTAAAACACAAAAACAGTGCTATCTATCTATCTTTCCCTTATTTCTTTCTTTCTTTCTTTATCCATCCATCTATCTATCTAATCTATCATCTATCTATCTATCTATCTATCTATCTGTCTATCTATCTATCATCTATCTTCTATCTAAAACACAAAAACAGTGCTATCTATCTATTCTCAATTCTTTGGGAAAAGTTTGCTGTGTACTGAAAAATAATTGAATAAGCCAGTGTGGTGCCACACAGCTATAATTCCAGCAGTTGGGTGATGGAGGAAGGAAGATCAGGAATTCAAAGTCATCCTCATCTATATTGTAAGTCTGAAGCTGACCTGAGGTACAAGAAACTCTGTCTCAACCTCCCCCTGCCCCTAAAAAATTGAATAAGTATCTGTGTGGTGATTTGAATGTACAGTATCTCAACAGGCTGAAGTATTTGAATATTTAGTTAGTTGGTGGAGCTGTGTGGGGAGAGCTATGGAACCTTTAGGAGGTGTGGCCTTGCTGGAGAAAGCATATCACTAGGGGTAGGCTTGAACAGTTAACAGGTGTGCCTCATTTCCAGCTGTCTCCCTTTTGCCATGATGGACTCATCCCTCTGGAACCATAAGCCCAAAAATCTCTTCCTTCTGTAAGTTGCCTTGGTCATGGTGTTTTATCATAGCAACTGAAAAGTTACTAATACAGTCTGTATTAAAACTCCAAAGTGAGAGATAGTTGTACAAATCAAAATGTATAAAGTATAAATAACTATAAAGATGTTTTTATAAATTCAGTGAAACTGAAAACTTTTAACACTTTGTTTTATTAAAAATTAAATTATTAAAATTCTGAAAGCTATCATAGTTATAAGAAAACAATGACAACAAAAATATACTGAAATGATTTATGATACTAAAAATGAACCTCTCAGTAAGGAAAGTCTAGTCTAGTTCAGGACAACATGTATATGAATATGCAGCTTCTTAAATGTTCAGTTTATAAATCCAAAAGTTTTGCATTATAGTTTATATATTCTTTATTTTTAAATACCTTCATTCTTTCTTTGGTTTTGGACAAATCAGATACTTTTATTAGTGGAGCCATTAATCTGCATTTGAATATTTTTCTCAGAAGTAATTAAATTTTCTATTTTCAGTTTTTACCAGTGAAATTCTAACACTCACTTATGAAAGTAGAATAATATAAAAGTATTCCCCCAATTTTCTCTTTTTCAGTGTAAAAAGCACCATTACAAGCATCATTTGCTATCCTATAAGTCTCATTTAACTTGTAAATAAAATATTTTAAAATGGGTATAAAAATAAATACTAGGAGAAGGCACTTTTAGAATCAATAAGACCTCTGAGTCCTTATATAATTTCTAGCAGTAATTTATTTTTCAATCAAAATGTCTGGGAGATAAGAATTGTACCTGATTCTATTTTTAAAATATTTTTTATTATAAACAGTAAGTTCCCAATTGTAAACCTCTAAAGCCAAACATAGTGAATCTACTTTAAATAGCTGCAGTGGTTCACTAGGAAAAAAAATGATCTGGACCCATTACCTCATTGTTCAATGGTCTGTCAGCCATCTCTTTTACAAAATTTTTGGATGAGAGGAGGAGCAGCTGGATGGTGCATGGAAATTGATATGAAGTAGGCTGAACAGCTGTGAGAGGGCAGAGTGGATAGCTCTCTTAGCAGTAGCAAAGGACCCAAGAACAACCAGCCAGGAACCTTGGGTATAGGGCTCCAACCACCCATCTGGAAATGCCTCTATGTAGAAAAGTTCCATTTTCTCTGAAAAGCTTCCTTATTTTTCATATGAAGGGTTTCCATAACTTCTGATGAGGAATAATTTGGACAGTTCTCAAAATACTTTGATCTGCTTGATGTGTGAAACTGAACACTAGGAAATATTCACTGGGGTTAGGGAGTTAGAGTTCCTTAGAGTGGCCTTTTAAATGGAGGTAGGGATATAGCGATTGGGTGTGTTTCCATTCCCTAACATGTCCCACTGCTGTAGAAAACGGAGTGGGGAGAGTGTAGAAGAAATGATCCAAATGAAGGCAAGTTCTGGGGTCACTTGTAGATTGTCATTCTGTGATAAAGAGCAGCTCTAATTCTGCTCTCAGTAGATTTGTCTATTTCCAAACATCTCTAAATAGATAATGATTCCCAATTCTTATGACCAGAAACACATATGAAAATAATTTAACATAGTTATACATGTACATATGTATATGCATGTAAAGAAAGTTTCATTTTGAATGAATGAGATTTAGATTGATAAGTTGTGATTATCTGACAGAAAAAAGGAAATTGTGCTGATCTGAGATGTGTATATCTGAAAATGAATCAAGATATAAACACTGTAAAGGAGCCTTGCCTCCACTGACACTTCTCGTCAACTCTATTGACTCTATTAATCAGGTGGACATGCGGTCTAAAGAATACAGAGTGGAGCAAGAGGACACAGGGTAAAGGGAGATGCTACTTTAAGCAAAGGGCTCAGAGTGACATCAGCAAAGAGTAGACTGTTGGGCACTAGGATGCAGGTGTTGCATTCTCTGTCCAGGTGGCGAAAACTTCAACTGAAGTAATAAAAATGGAACCATATGCAATAGATTCTAAATTGTGATTATATTTAGCTTTAGAAGTTAATAAATGTGGGGTATTTAAAATGCACTGTCTGAATTTAACAATGAAAACCATTTTACTTCATGTTTTAATATGATCAGCTTATGAGATTTCTCAAGGACATTTATGACAAAATCACTTTATAACAAAGGTATAGGAAAGTCATTATGAAACCCATCACTTTATGTAATACTAATGATTTTTTAATCAGCATGATGACTAGAATAATCAGAATCTTTTTCCAAATGAAAATAATTGTCTCAAATATGACTATTTTTAAGAATTAGTATGTCTTAATGATTAGAGCTTTGATGTAATTATTGAGACTAATAAAAATATGTGAAGATATAGAGCTACAAAGGCATAGGCTTGTATAATGTGCTCTTATTCTGAGTGTGAACATTCATTGAGAGTGTAACTGTTCGGGGCAGGGGGATATTTAAAGGTATATTAGAGTATTTTGAGCACAGTCTGAGGAATTTCAGGAAAGCTTCCAGTTCAGGTTGGGGAGTCTGACTTTTATTCTCTTTATAATGCAGTGTTTGAAACTAAGTTACTTATTCACTTGAGTTTCTCTGGGGTAGTCTGACATTTAGGTCATTACACAGTGATAAGCATATAGTAATACAAGCATAATACTTGTTCCTCCACTTTTCAGCCACAAATTGTATGAGGCTTCAAATGCTCCAGCAAGTCCGTAATTCTGTGCAGTAATGTCAAGATGCCACTTGGAACCTCTTTCTTGAAGTCAGAGTTGTCCTCTGAAAAGATTTAGGCAGATACTGGGAACCTGAAACAGGAACCAAACAGGAATTTACATTAAAATATTCAAAATTCAACCTCCAGGGCCAGGTGTGGTGGATTGCTTTCAATTCCAGCACTCAGAAGGCAGAGGCAGAGGCAGCCTGGGGTATACAACATAACTTTCTCAAAACAAAAAGAAACACTGGGATACAGACCAGTATTAGGCCCACTTGGGTAACATGTAAGAGGTTCTCAGTTTGTTCCCCATCATTAAAAAAAAAAGTAACATCACTAGGCTAAAGAAGGGGCTGACATAAACAGTAATAAATGTATTACAGAATGTTTACCCAATTTAATTTTTAGAATTATGATCTATTTTCCTTGAAAGAATACATTATCCTTTGTATTTCAGATGGCTTTTCATACAAATTGCTCATAATTCCGAGCAGCAAGTATATATCTAGCACCTTGCTATTCTCTTTCCTTAGATTTTCCAATGATTATTTTATCCCTGTGTCCTGATATAAAACAAGAGACTGAGGTCCAGAGAGGTTGGGATATTCCTGAGGTTGTACAGTTCACAGGTGGTAGTCAGAATGGAAAAGGGACAACGGCTTCCAGACGGGCACATTGCACGATGATGCCATGCTCCCTCCACAGATAAAAATATAGTAACAATTTAAGAATCAAAACACCACTGGCCTCTATCCAAACTAGAACTTTATTCTCCCACTAGCATTCTAGGACACAATAAGAACTTTTATATAAAATCCCATACAGTAAATATTTAGAAAATCTGTATAAAATTTTCAGAAAGTTTCCAAAATTGGAGTTTTCTTTTCAAAGAAATGGAAACGCTGTAGCAGACAAAGACAGCCTCTATAAGAGAGGCTTCCCCTCGCTGTAAGCGAATGATGCTCCTGGGTAATTAAGAGAAGGTTCCCTTTTGGGTATTCAGCAGCAGATAGGTGCTGGTCAATCTGTGTGGCTTCTGGGTCAGGCCAATCATAGAACACAGGCATTTGCTCTTCCCTCCTATATGGTCAAAGCAGGTGCATCAAGGTAAATAATCTTCAGTGGCATTTCCTGATATTTTAAGTCTCAAAAATAGTATTATTGGCCCCCCCTTTAAAATAAAATAAGTTCTCACTATGTAGCTGAGGGTGACTCAGACTTTCCATCCTCCCATCTCAGTCTCCTGAGTGCCAGAATGACATATGTATGTCACCACATCCAGCTTATATCAAGTCTTTACAACTAGGAAGAGCTGACCTGTTAAAACACTTTGACCTGTCCAAGTGTGAGCAGTAAAGTCCATCTGTGTCAAGGAACCTTTGCGAGGTGTCTCTGTCTGTTCAAAGAAAAACAAAAGGGGGTGAGCTCTATTATTTTCAAATATTTTTTAAAATCAAAAATTATAGCTGGATGTGCTGGTGCACACCTTTGATTCCAGCCCTTGAGAGGCAGAGGCAGGAGGATCTCTGTGAGATCAAGGCCAGCCTGGTCCTCACAGTGACTTCCAGACAGGCTGGGACTAGGGAGACCCTGTCAAAAAAAAATTATAGATAATATTAAATCTACCTGGAATGTATGAGTTGTGCTGGGTCTTGAAAGCTGTTCCAGGGTGATGGTTCTTTCTCGAAGAGGCGATCGTTCTATGCTGTCTGGCATTGCACTTAACACGCGGTTTTGTGGATACTTTCCCCGGTACTAAATGGAGGACGAAGAGCTCTTGTTTAGCATAAACTCAGTCCTTAGAATGACCAAAAGAAAACTATAGATATTAATGAAATATATTCATTTATTTATTCAATTGCCCACTTATTTGAAAATTCTCCCACACTTTTAAATGTAAGTTCTGTCATGGAAATACTTAAGTATGCGTTGAATATGTAATCTCATCATTAAATTCAATGAAACTGTAGCATAATAATAGGTAAAAGTAAACAGTCCAGAAGGTTTAACTACATAAAATGCTGCACATCAAATGATACTACAAATATAATTGTGCATTTGTGAAGCATCAGCCTTGTCTTTGTGACATCTGCCTTCGCTGAGTTCATCCTGAGGTTAAAAATTCTGGTGCTGCACCTCCTGCTTTCTGGGAAATGGGTTCTGCTGCTACTTATGGTCTGAAAGAGAAAACCTTAGCTTAGCTTGCTCTCTCTCTCTTTATGTTCCTACAATGGTGATCCTCTGTGTTCTACAGACACAAGTTGCTTGTATCAGAGTAAAGTGAGCGTCACTGTAATCTGGGAGAGGCCTGTCTGTATACACTACCAGCAACACTCCTTCCCATTCCACAGCTGTGTGGATGAACGGAGCCAGGGTGAGGAAGACATTGCACAAACATGGGAAAGGTCAGCTATGAAAATGGGGCCAAATGAAAAGGACAAGGGTATATTTACTGGACTCTTAACTTACGCCAGGTCTTTAAAATTATGAACGCATCCAATCTTTGTAACAAATGCTTGATCTAGGAATGGTTATTTATTACTCTTTGATAGAAGGACTAAGGTTCATGGATTCTAGAACAGCTTGCCCTAAGTCATGCAGGACTGAAGCACAGTTCCTCCTGCCTCTGTTCTAACCTTCATGCTCTTCCCTTCTCTACACCAGCCGGATCTGTAGGCATTTCACTCATACCTGAACTTTCTAACCCAGTTCAAGCCAAGATTCTATTTCAACAAATGGTGAACGAGTCTCCTCACTCCTTGGATGATCTCTGTATAAGCCACTTACTTTCTAAAAGCAGATTAGGAAAACATCACGAACACAGCTAATCAGATCACTCTCTAATACAATTGACTTCTTTGGATGTGCCAAGATTGTTTTTCTTTGTTTTTCCCACCTATTATCTAAACGGTTACAGTCACAATGAAATCTGTCGTACCAAAACAGGGCGGGATCTAAAAACTGAGATGTTTTGCTCTCCAGCCTCAGAGCCTATTGGGGGTAACCTGCTCCGGAAGGTTTGAACTGCAGGGGTTGACATGTGGTCTATGCCAGTTTGCCTGTAAACAGAACAACATACAGTTGAACACCTTTGTACAGAGCGAGAACGAGAGAACCTAAATTACTGATCACAACTGCTTCCAAAATCAGAGCTCACGGAGAGCAGGCTGCATTCTGTGAAGACAGATAAGAACCAGGGCTCCTGGCTCTGCTCACACTGACCTTGCCTAATGGAGAATATCAACCTGCATTTATGGAGCAGACAGCTATGCTACAAAATGTGCAGAATATAAAAGGAATTCAAGGCATAGACACACTGGTTGCATGGTTTGTTTGGAGAGGTCAAAGAAAATCTTAACTAAAGGAGAGTAATAGCAGGAGAGTTTTCCTGCCAGACAGTAATATTAAAAATCTGTCTGGTGGGGCTAGAGTGATGGTTCAGCAGTTAAGAACACTGACTGCTCTTACAGAAGACCTGGGTTCAAATCCCAGCACCCACATGGTAGCTAACAATTGTCCATAGCTCCATTTCCAGGGGATCTGACAGTCTCTTCTGACCTCCGTGGGCACTGCACAACACGGGTGCACTTACCTACATGCAGTCAATACACGGATATACAGAAAATAAAAATAATAAATAAAATATTTAAAAATAAATAAATAAATAAAGTCTGAGTTTTTGCATAAGAATATTTTAAGATAATTTCAATTCATTTATTTATTAGTAATAAAATTATCAGCATTGCAATGTATTCAACTTTTGACCAATGAAGCCTACAGAGAAAGAGCCAGGTACCTGTATGGCCAAGGGGTCTATAAATTGGTACAACCATTCTAAGAAGTACTTTCACAGAATAATTTCAAGAACTTTAAAAATAACCTTTAACCTGGTAGTTTTCTTTCTAAACAGTACAACTTGGAAATAATTTAAAGACATTTTCACTAAGACTGAGACACAATAATATTCACTGCATATCTCAAAATAAAAATACAGAAAAAATGAGGAATGTCATTAACAGGAAATAATAAATTCTCATATAGTCATATGATTATTTTGTAGTCATTAAAATCATGCCTTCAAAATTATTTACAATGTAGGAAATATGAATGTCTTAATGTTAAATAAATATATGAAAAATATGTTAAATAAAATATGAAAATATGTAATGTATGTGGTACATTATATAGTAGCAAAATAATTCTAATGTAGGGAAAAGGCAATAGAAAGGGAAATTAAATCCTAGATAAAGCTGATAAGAAATTCACCAGCAGTTATGATTCAAGTAATCCTTGATGTCTGTTCGTATTTTTAATGTTGTTGCAATGGTCAATGATTGATTTTGATAATTAGGGGAGAAATGCTAGTCCAAAAAGGGAAAGACTGGGACAGGGATAAAGCTTTGTGGTAGAGCTCTTCCCTAACCTGAGTTAGTACCGAGAGAGAGAGAGAGAGAGAGAGAGAGAGAGAGAGAGAGAGAATATTGGGAGAGGATGCAAACCTGGCATGTTTGTGGATGAGCAGGCGGGTAAGGCTGCTTAGGCTCATGATAATGGAAGAGAATAGTATGTAACTGTACACGGTCAGAGGGAGAGCTTTTCTCCAAAGGGAGCAGAACTTGGACTCATGCATAAAGCACTGCTAAACATACAGATATGCAGCTTATCTATGGTGTTAATATTCCATAAGGGAACAATTAGGGTAAATGATCCAAAAGGGCTCGTTAGCACTGTAACAACAACAAAAAATTAACATGGCAAACACGGCTCCAGAGAGAAAGACCCGAAAAGGGAGGGAACACACAATGGGAGGAGCTAGACATATTTCAGTAAGAAACAGAAACGGCTTTGGTGCAAGTCAGATGATGAATCTTGGGCTGATAGGAAGAGAGGAGCTGGCAGTATGCTGCTACTGACACAGGCATGCTGTGAAGACAGTGTGGGAGGCAGTCATGCTGAGAATGCGGAAGGGCAGGAAGCTTGAAGGCATTAAGAGAGCGGATCCAAACACTGCCGGAAACTTCAGTCCCAAGCGGCAAAAACGCCAGCCTGTAAAAACTGAAGGTGGTGCTGTGAACGTTTCCTGGGAACAAAACAGCTGAAAGACAGGCTCTTCTTCACTTGGCAGCAATAAGTTGCCAATATTTCTACAGATAAGATTGGGGTCTGCTGCTCATTTTCCCAGTTCTATGCTGGGTTTTTGTCTGCTTGTCTGGGGACACTGACTTGACACAGTGGGCCTTAACAGGGATGGCAGAGTATATGGGCTCTAGTGGGGGACTATGGGAGGGTGCCGGGGTGGGGGGGAACAGGGGTATAAAGATGATTAAGATTGATTGCGCTGTTCTGTATGAAATACACAAAAATTCGATAAAAACAAATTAAAAGAGAAAACAGTTGGCAGCTGCTCTGCCCTCCAAATCCCTCAGGGACCTAAGGACAGCCTCTCTAACATCCCACCCTTGCGGCAGAGCCCATGGCACCTGGTCTAGAGAGTGGACTCCAAAGCCAGAGAGCCAGGGCCTCAGCTGTGCCCTTGGTGCTGCAATCTACAGCAAGTTATTCAACTTCTTTCAGCCTATTTCCTCATCCTAGATTTGGGAATAATATCAAGGTTTATAGTAGGGAGTAAATACAATAATAAACATATTCCATTTATTCAGTGCTCCGTAACCAGAAAGAAACCAATGAACACAGCTATTATTATTAAGGTAGGTATTTCCTGCAAGAGAGTAAGTCAGCAGGAGGCTTCTTCGAATTCTGTGATAAAGAAAGAAACAAAAGCTTTCTCATTAGGTGAGGAATCTAATGGCAATTCCTAAATTCAAAACTTTTCTGTTCTAAGGAGGGTGTGACACTTCTTTAAAGCTAATAAAAACTATTAGGTTTATATGACATTAATTTTAATTTGATTCAATTTTTGAAACAGATCTCCCTGTGTTGCTCAAGCTAGTCTCAAGTTCCTGGGCTCAAGTGATCATCCTGCCTTAGTCTTTTGAGTAGCTGGGATGGTGGGCATGTGCCATGACACCTCACCTTTTATTTTTGAAGGCATTTTATGTAGCCCAGCTGTAGATTAATGACAGAATACTTTGAGAAACTTAGCCTTGGGCAATTCCATCATTGTGCAGAGATCATAGGACGTACTTACACAGACGGCTATGATACCATGAACGTATGCAACCTCATGTGACCACTGTAATATCTGCTCTGTAATTGACTGGAACATTGTTATCCAGCGCATGACTGCACATGATTTTACTTAAAAATTTTCATTAAAAAATATTTTGTATTGTAAAAGCACTGTCAGTTCTACAAATGAGGCCTCTAAAATTAATCTGAGATCACTCCACCATCTGTTTAATTTCACCTCACTGTAAATTTACAGATAATCTTTCATTCTAGTATACAAGTACATATACTACTTGAACCAAATCAGTGTTAACTATGCAAATAAATGCACTCCTTAGAAAAGCAACTGTATAAAATCTAATGGAAGATCCTTTATCCAGAATAATCAGTCCATCAACCCTAATTGAAAAGTGTCCCTGTCCTTTGTGACCTTTAGTTTGCTGTGAAAGAAACAAGACTTACAGTTTTGTTCCCCTCAGAATGTCATCGTTGTAAACATTAGGAGTTTTCAGTCTCTGTGAATCTGAAGTAATCGAAGGCAGCCTCCTATGTGCTGGTGTTTTCTTGGCAGAAGTCTGTAGTCCACGTGGATCTGAGATGCATCCTAGTCGGTGACGTGAAGAAGAAAAAGCGCTGACCCCTATTCCAGACAGTTTGTCATCGTGCTCATTCCTAGGGAAGAGAAATCTAGTTAGTTACTCACTCCTAAGGCTCATGAGAACAGGCAATGTCTGGAACACAGACCATATTATCTGAGTAGCTCTTGAATGAATGGACAGACTATTATTACTATTGCTAGGTCAGTGAAACATCAGCCACAGGAAAAAAATCTAAATGCATTTGTGATCAAATAGTAAAGCCTAAGAGATAGAGAAGCCATGCAAAGCTCCCCTCTCATCTCTTCCAAGGTGATAGAAACAGTGGTTACTTTGTGGTTAATATTGGAAGAATCTGTTCCTGTCCTTGCAAGCTGGCTACATTCCTCTGGGATGCACCAGGCACACTTGGAGCATGGGACCGAGTGGGATTTTCACTGCCTCACATCTCTGAAGTCTTCAGTGGTCAAATGTTGCCAGCACAGGGAAGTGGTCAGGTAATTCTTTCTTAATACTTACTGTGTTTTATCTGCAACATAGGTTGGTCTCTGCTGAAGTGGTTTGGCTTGAATTGTCATTACACCACTCAAATCACTACAGAAGTTGTTGGAGAAGCGACGGATCTGAGAAAACTGAAAAAATAGTAACATTAAACATAGCCACTACCATTTCACTGATCGATGCCTTTTGGGAATCAGCAGGGAACAAATGGCACAAACTTAGCTAGTGAGAGGAAAATTTAATATAGGCAGTGTTTGACAAATAAATATAAACATAGAGGCCATCTTTATCACACTCATGCCCATATGAAACAAAGTAAGATATTACACTAAATATATCAGAGATGAAAAACTATAGCAAGCAGGTAGCAACTTCAAAATGTTCTTTCCAACAGAAAAAGCAAAGAAGAGTTATTATAAAAGCCAAACCAGTCTGGCTGGAATGAAGCCAGACTGACAGATACTGTGTAGCCCTGAACTGCTAACCCCAGTGTGGTGGTTTTGAATGAGTGTCCCTCATAGGCTCAAAGAGTATGGACACTTCTTGGTTCCCAATTGGTGGTGCTGTTTGGGGAGGGTCATGGAACCTTTAGGGGTGTGGCCAGGCTGGAAGCATGTCACTGGGGGTGGGTTTTGAGAGTAGACAGCCAGGACCCATTTCCACTTTCTCTCTGCTTCCCGTGCCTGCTTGAAGATGTAAGCGCTTAGCTTTTCGCTTCAGCCACCTCTGCCGCCATGCCTTCCTGCCTTGATAAACTCTTATCTCTCTTGAACCATAAGCCAAATAAACTCTTCCTTCTCTAGGTTCCTTTGGTCGTGGTGTTTTATCACAGCAACAGAAAAGTAGCTAGTACACCGATCCAAGCCCGTCTCATTTCCACCTTATGAAGGTTTTCTATTTATGTGCTCCCAGCCAGAAAAATATTTTTGTCTCTTTTTTTTTTCTTTTCAGTTTAACAAATTTTACTCATTATTCATGCTTAGCTTATACTTACTCTTACCCTGCTTTGTAAAAGGTATGGTATTTTTCCTCTGAGCCCTACAAAACTTATGCTCTAAAGCAATGGAATTATATGGAGCATCTGACTAGCATGTGACTATAACAGAAGTCAACACTTATTAAGCATCTACTGGATGCTACACACTGGTAAACTGCGACGGACCAGCCCAGACCGGGGCAGTTCAGTCCGAAGGGAACAGGGTCGTCGAGAGGGTGGACAAGGAGTCGGCGAATAAGCCCTACAAAACTTATGCTCTAAAGCAATGGAATTATATGGAGCATCTGACTAGCATGTGACTATAACAGAAGTCAACACTTATTAAGCATCTACTGGATGCTACACACTGGTAAACTGCGACGGACCAGCCCAGACCGGGGCAGTTCAGTCCGAAGGGAACAGGGTCGTCGAGAGGGTGGACAAGGAGTCGGCGAATAACAAACAGACACAAAGGAGCTTGATGAAAGTCTGAGTGTGTTTTTGCAGCTGCAAGGTTTGAATGACCTTAAACCACTAAGTACTTTTAATATCAACTGTGTATGATATTTCATTTTTAACTATTTGATAACATTCTTTGTTTATTTGTAGTGGGCCATCGGGCTTCTAAGTCATTCCTTAACCCCTTAGATCCTAAAAAATCATCCCATGTTAGGGACCTATGAAACCATCTTTTATCCAACTTTCAAATACAGTCCGTAGTTACCTTTTAATGCTCTCTTGTTGATCTTTTATCAAAACACACCAAGGTAGTCTTGATCTTGCCAATTTATCCATGAATTGTAATGAATACCAAGAAACCCTTCTTCTATCTATATTTACTCATCTATGTCTCTCTTCTAGAAATCTGTTATTCCCTGGACTTTCCAGCATTAATTCTGCTTGACTACTTCTTGTTGTATCTAAAATAACTTTCATTAATAGTGATATATCTGGAGACAAAGTTGTCTTTTGTGATTGAGTTCCTGAAAACTTTTCCTACATACTAAGATAATTAAAAGATTCAATAAAGACAGTGACAGTGGTATCAAGGACACCAGGTGCTTTCTGGGCCCCTAAAAGTCCATAATACAGTGACAGTCAAAAAAATAATAACAAGTAAAAACATGCCAAGTACACTGCATGTTTTTTAACACAGCCAATTCCAAGAGACAACCTTCCTTAAAGTTCCAGCCTCAACCCACGGAGGATCTCACACAGACTTCATTAGAGATGGCGTGACAGTAAACATATTAAATCATCCCTTAATTCATGCAGCTTCCTACTGCACAAAAGACAGAAGATGACACTGAAGTTTTGCAGGAAAGGGACTGATATTGATGACAGGGTTCAAACTTGCATTTTATATGCAAAGCACAAACCATTAGTTATTCCACTATTAACTCTATTTCTTGTGTGTCTGGGAGGGGGTGTTATGGACTGACAGCTTTCGTCTACACTGTAATGGTGTGAGGTTCAAAATCGGATGTTACAAATTATGGACAGAGGCAAACATGTTCAGACCCCCTAGTACCCTGAAGACCTCCCATGAACAAGCCTTTCTAACATCATCTGCTACGCCATCTTTGACTAAGGATTGGATTTTAAAAGAGCATATTGAAGTCTTACTATTCAGAATCTGTGTTGGGAGCTTTCACATATTTCTAGGATGTGATTCTGATAAATATCTCTTAGACAGTATGTCCTTATCCTCAGCACATAGAGACTAATATGTAGAAAAGTTAACACATCCAAAATAATGCTCCACACATGTCTCAGCTCTATCCCCTGACCCCCTGCTTTGCCACCACATCCTGTGGATCCCAGCATTTTCTCTTCTAAACCCTCAGTCTAAACACTAGTCTCTAACTATCTTGAAATCCCAACCCACAGAAACCCTATTCTTTTCTACATGTTCCTACTCAGGTTTTGCCTCCAATCCTGACTCTCTAATCAGGACAAGACAATTGATTCCTTACTTAATTCTTCAAATTATTTATTAATCTCTCTCTCTCTCTCTCTCTCTCTCTCTCTCTCTCTCTCTCTCTCTCCCCTTTCTATGTCTGCCTGTCTCTCTCATATTCTTGCTCATCCCTCACAGGATGTATTACATCCGACCCTGTGTTACTATTTTTGTTTCAGTAGGTCAGGTACTATGTGCCATTCATCTATACATCTCATCAAAACATCTAATGTAAAACATTTAATACAAACAATAAATGTTCAGTGAACACCAGGCATACTTATTAATACTTTTCTCACTTTGGTGGAAGGGGAGGGGTCATTTGTATTGTTCAAAGTGGCTAGAAATTTAAGAGAAAGGTTTTCGCTCTCAAAATACAGAAAAATATTTCCACAGCTTCAGAGAGTGTTTAAGTGTCTACTACAGGACGTTCTAATTCTACTAAACATGAAACCATCACATTATATTTTAATGTTTTTAACACGCACCCATGTATCTTCACAATAAAATTAAATAGAATAGTACTCTTGACAAGCAGAGGCAAACGGCATGAAAATAGTAGGAAGAGAGAGCATAAGACAGAGACACAGCGTAGGTTTCGTACCTGGGGTGGATTAAGGTGGGAAGCCAAGGACATGCTGAGGGTTTCAGAACTTCTGGATGGAGGGACACTTGAAACCTCAGTGCTGAGACGGGAAATGAGCACATGTGGAGACCTATTTTCAGCTACTTTGAATTTGTCTTTATGTTTTTTTCCTTCTGTGAAAACAGAAAAATCAGTAAGAATGCGTGTTCTATCATGCATCTATGTCACAGACTAAGATGAAGCAGTATTGCAGGAGTACAGACTCTTGTGGACAGCTGGCTGATGCGCTGATCCTCTAAGTGGTAGAAACACAGATTACAGAGTGCCTAAGATTGTCCAAAACAATAATGCCCTCTTTATGTGATCAGAGCATTCATGAATAAGGCAAAATGGGTACTTTTTGGGGTCTGGTGAAGCCGAAGTAGGGAGCAAGAGCCAATTCACAGTGATCTTTTTTGTTCTTTTCAGTAGGCCAGATTCTATGCATAAGTACCTGTGAGTGTAGATTCCCAGTTTTTTCTAAGGAGGCCTTCTAGTATTTCAACCACACTGGTCCAAACACAATCAAAGACTTCTGCTGCCACAGCATCTCTGATACAGTCATTGGGAGAAATGGGAGGAAGCCCATGTCGACGCCACTTCCTGCCACGGAGTGCTGGGTTTTGTTCAAGATGTTCATCTCCACTAAGGATGAATGCCATCTAATTACTAAAATAGCCATGGTCAAGGTTGAAATAATTCTCTATCTGTCTGTCTGTCAAACTATTACCTATCATGTAAACATATACATATTTATAGACATAATAAATATAATTCAATT